CCCATTTAATTTCTCAGTCAGCGCCAGATATTACAAAAAATTAAAAAAGGCTGAGGAGGATCCGCAAACTCCCCTACAGGAATTGGAGAAAATGGCTCCTGAAGTTTTTAATGCTCGAGAATGACAGTTGAGTAAACCCAACAGACAAGGCTGCAGCAGAATATGCTCCAAGCCCAAGCCTTAGCAGCTTCTCTGAGGCCACCAAGGCCCCCTACAAAGGGGTACAAGGGAAGTCGGATATGACTTCTCACTGGAGCTCAGGCCAAGTCAACTCTGCCAAAAACTGGCTTCAAATACAGAAAGCAGGGCCACTGGTCATAGTATTGCCCTGACCCCCAGCCGCCTAGGAGGCCATGCCCTGTCTGCCAACAGCCTGGGCACTGGAAATCAGAATGCCCCCATGCAGGCTCGTCCTCTATGCCATGCCATGGAGGTCCAGCCTCACCAACTCTGGCAACTGAGAAATCCTAAAGCTGGCAGAGAACTGACTTGGCCTAGACCTGCTGACTCCCATTGCCCTCTCGGAGACTAGGGTAACACTATAGGTAACAGGTAAGTCCATTGACTTTCTTTTGAACATGGGAGCTACCTATTCTGTTTTGACATCTCATTCAGGTCCTACAGTTCCCTCACCAATTCTTGTCACAGGGGTGGACGGGATCCCTTCCTTCCCACTTAAGACCCTGACACTTCCCTGTATTTTTCCAGGGTGACCTAATTGCCCTGCACCCGTGCTTGGTCATAATGTGCTCAGTCTTTTTGGGGCTACACTCACCTTGGCCCCCACACTCTCCTGAGTATTTCACAGGTCCATCCACAGGGGCCCTCCAGATATGTCAGCCTCTGTACCACCTTCGAGGACATCAACCAGGTGAGGATTGTCCGGTAGACTTCATTCACATGCCCATACCTAAAGAACTCTGCTACCTCCTAACTATGGTTGACACCTTTATCCTCAGGAAAGGTTGAGAAGGCCAATGGACTCATCACATGACAACTCACCAAGCTCTCCATTGAACTCAGGTTATCTTGGCCCTCCCTTTTCCCCAACTGCCCTTACCCACCTCTGGGGCACCCCACACTCTCCTGCAGGCCTGAGCCCCTTTGAGCTCCTTTACAGAAGGCCCTTCCTCCTCAATCACCACCTCCTAGCCCAAACCCCCCCACTGGCCAGGTACCTCCCCTACCTCTCCCTTCTGAGGTCCCTTCTCCATTCACATGCTGACAGCTATCTCCCTGCCCCCACACCAACAAAACCAACAGACCCAACTGAGCCTGCCTCACTCTCCCCAGGGGACAGAGTACTCCTCAAACAGCTAGCTCCTAAGTCTCTTGAGCCCTGATGGACAGGACCTTATACTGTGATCCTCACCAACCCCTCGGCTGCCAAGCTCCTGGGATATCCATGCTGGTACCATCTCTCCAGGCTCAAATGGGCACCTATTCAGGATACATGGTCTGTCCAACAGCTGGACCCCTCCACCCTCTGGTTGTCCAATATGTCCCACTAAAGGGCCTATCTGCTCTTCTGATCTATACATTCATCTTTACAGTACAACTAGGGCAGATGTTAATGATCTATTTTTTTTCCTACAAACTTGCCTTCTTTGCTTCCTCAGGTCTCCAGGATGACTATTAACCAGATGCTCCTCCACTCACACCTCCTGCTGAATGTGAGCTCACCAATTCCGGACTCCTCTTCCCCACATCACCCCATGCCCACAGGAAGTATTCAGACTTGAATGGGTGTTCCTATACCCAAAGAGTCTGGAATGTTTGGATGGGAGCTCCACCTCAACCCCTGGCACCCTGGCACCCTGGCATCCCCATACCCAAAGAGTCTAGAGTAGGAGCTCCACCTCACACAGCTCCTCCCCAAACCCGCCCCTTCAAAGCCACCCAAACACAGCTCCTACCCCAGAGAGGCTCAGGACGACTCCCACAGGGGATATATAAGCTGCATCCCCCAAAACAGACTCGTGGTTCTTCTGGTCTTGTCCCCTTCTCCTGTCTGCGGGGCCAGGGAATCACCTGGGAGCGCTTTAACCCTTAAACCTGGACTTTCCAATTTGGTCTGATCTGTTTTGTTGCAAAGGTGGAGAGGCCTTCAGCAGGCCTAAAACTTATCAAAATAGAGAAAGATAAAAGCCCAGAGGCAAAAGATAGACAGGATAATTTAAGTTAAGAAAAGCTGGCTAGAAATAAGTCAAGCCAAGGCCAGACATTTCCAAGAATGAATAAACCTCTGTGTGTATTTATTTGGGAGCTGGGTGGTGGACCCCCAAAAGAGTCAAAAGAGTAAAAAGAGAAAAAAAACAACAACAGCATACCTTTCTTCACTACCCAAATATGAACCCATCTCTTAGAGTATGACAAGCTATACTCTAAATAACCTAATTAAGATATTCTCTTGGGACCCACACTGAAATATTAGGACAAGCTCAGGGAATCTTGGGGAAGAGAGAGAAGAAGGATTGCAGGAGCCAGAGGGGTCAAGGACATCACATGAATACCCACAGAAAAAGACTAACCTGGCTCATAGAAACTCACAGAAACTGAACCAATGACCAGGGAGCCTTCATGGGACGGAAGCACTCTGCATATATGTGACAGTTGTGTAGCTTGGTACTCTTGTGGGACTCCTAAGAATGGGAGCAGAGACTGTCCCCAATGCTTTTGCTGGCTCTTAGGAAGGAACCTATTTCAATCATACTGGGTTACCTTGCCTAGCCTAAACATAAGAGGAGGTGCTGAGTCTTACTGCAACTTGATATGACATGCTTTGTTGATACCTGTGGGTGGTCTGCCCTTTTCTGAACAGAAACAGAGGAGGAATATATTAGGGGTGGGTTGGGGAAGAGAATGGGAGAATAGGGGGACTGTAAAATAAATAATAAATTAAATAATAAAAAATGATGTCCTCTTGGAGGATGGGAATATGGCCTAGTCAGAAGAACACTTGCTGTACAACTGTGAGAGCCTGAGTTCAAGTATCCACACCCATGTAAAAACTTGGTGCATAGGAAATAGGAGGATCCAAAGTTCCAAACAGCCAGCTCATGCACTAAGGACAGGTCCTGACTCAGCCTGGGCGAAGGGAGGAGGGGACTGGCCCTGCCTCAGTTGAATCTACCAGGCTGAGCTGAATCCCCAGGGGAGTCCTTGCCCTGGAGGAGATGGGAATGGGGGGGGTGAGCTGAGAGGAGGGCAGGGGGGAGGCTGGAGGAGGGAGGACAGGGGAATCCGTGGCTGATATGTAAAATTAAATTCAATTATAAAATAATTTTTTTTTAAAAAGAAAGAAATAGGAGGATCCATTGAAGTCACTGTCTACTAGCCTAGCTCCAGGTTCAGTGAGGGAGCCTGTCTCACGAAATAAAGAGTATGATGGAACAGGACATTCAGTGTTCTTCATTGGTCTCAATGCAAGAATGCACATGTAGCTTGAGTTTTCCTGCCTGGCCCACAGTCAGGGCAAATCTCTCTCACCTGCTAGTCCCACAGCCGCTCAGACCCGACCAAGTAAACACAGAGACTTATATTGGTTTCAAACTGTATGGCCGTGGCAGACTTCTTGCTAACTGTTCTTACAGCTTAAATTAATCCATTTCTATAAATCTATACCTTGCCACGTGGCTCGTGGCTTACCGGCATCTTCACATGCTGTTTCTCATCATGGCGGCTGGCAGTGTCTCTCTCTGACTCAGCCTTCCACTTCCCAGCTTTATTCTCCTCCTTGTCCCACCTATACTTCCTGCCTAGCCAATGGCCAATCAGTGTTTTATTTATTGACTAATCCGCAACACATTTGTCATACAGAACATCCCACAGCATGCACACGTGTGTGTGCATGTACCACATGCTTGCACATTCATATGTGCATACATACAGACACAAAATATGTCCTTTTATTAAAATAGAATATGGGTCTACCAGCCCATACCAAGAAAGACAACTCAGTGGTTTCTTGTTCCTCTTATCAGAATAGTATTACTAATACTTGTTAGAGAATCCTAGGACATCATGTGTGTAGTTTTTGCATGGTATTTACATGCACTAGTGCAATCACTTAGACTGCTTCCATTCTTATCAGAGGTGGCCACTTACTTCTGGTACTTTTAAAGTTCCAAATAAATGCTCAAGAGTTGGTCTCTCTGCTGAAAGATAATGCTACCTGAGGTTTTGGTCTTTGATTACCATCCCCACATTTTTACCTAACCCACTATGCATCACTGGGAGTTTTGTGCACTGAAAATGGAAATTCCTAATGTTCCAAACTAACTTCATCAAATAATTTACATTTGTCTGGTGTTTGAAATCTTTAGTTCTTTATATTATCTTTTTACTTGTCTTCATATCATATCTCACCCTCTTCCTTATTTGTAGCTATGACTAGGCTCTAAATTCCTCTTGAATGCTGACTGAATTGGGTTTTGGGGTCCAAAGAACAGATGCTCTAATAAGCATTGGAGATAATAATGACACAATGAAAGAGTGAATAAGAAGTTTATTATAATTTATTAGTTCATACATTGAGTAAAGTAATCAAATCCAGGTTTGTGTCAATTGATATTACAAACAACAGACAAAACCATACATCCAATTAGGAATTTATCATGGTATCTGTTTCACCAATGTGTGACACTACATTTCCATGGGACTCACTTTTACAATTTCATGTTACCTTATCCAATACAAAAAGAAATTTGTGGAAAATTTTCAGTTGGTTTTTAAAGTAACAAAACTCTTTGGTTGTAAAATTGAAATGCAATAATAAATGTGTCAAGCATAACATCAAGAAACAAAGGCTGTGAAACAAATTAATTTTCCATTAATGGAACATTTGCAACTCACCAAAGCAATTATATATATCATTTACTCATTGTATAACAGAAAAAAAAAGAAAATATATGCTTTATTCCTGTGACCCATAAATCCCCCACTACATAGAAGGCTGACTCCTTTTCAAACAGAAAGTGAAAGCTCAACCTTGGTTGCAGCTATTTGTGAGAGGAGTTACAGGACATGCACCTGGGATGAGCACTGGCCATGACAGCTGTGCAAGCCAAGACTGGAGATCCTGGCTGTGCTCTCTCCATTTGATCTTTAAGAGCTTCTTCATATGGAGTAGGGAAGAAGCTAGGAATGGTGTCATTGATCTTAGCCCAAACTTCCAGGACTTTCATTTTGCTGGTTTCTACATGGGCCCGGGAACCCCACAGGAAATAATATCTAGGGGATTTACCCTCAGACATCTTGCGGATCTCAAGGTAATTTTGCTCAACCAGATCTTTGGTTATGAGCCTTCGGGGCTCCCCAAAGATCAAATGCTTCCTCCCTGCATACACTCCTAACACACTCAGGAATTTCCAGACCTCTTCCTCAGTGGCACGATTGCCTTTTGTGAATATCAGACCCAAGATGGTCATCAGGAGACCCATCTTTGGCAACCCCCTCTTGCCACTTAGAATTTCATCAGTGGAGAGACCTAGCTTGCTGACAATAGCATAGGACTGACTATTGGGATTGATTTTCTTCAACTGCATTGCAAAGATCATTTCCATGCGGGAGGAAGATTTCCTGAGGATGTCAGAAAACTGTGTTTTGTATTTCTTGTTGACAACCTTCAGCATATCAGCATCTGTAAACTGCTCACTCTTCTTAAACTTCTCAAGCAGGAACTCTACCAACATGCTAGCCTTCTTGGTAAGAGCATCTCGGCATATTGGCTGAGTGAAGGCTTCTGCCTGGAATGCACGTGGACTTCCCCCAACAGCACGGACATCATGACCCCCAGCACCTAGATCAGAGCCTGTGCAGGACATAACTGCATCAGGAGAGGCAGAAAATGCAGCTCCCTGAGGAGCACAAGCATTAGAAGAGCTTGGGGAATTAGCTTGGCCAACAGGAGGACATGCTGATTCTCTCCGAACAGCAGGTTGAGCACCCTGGAGACCTTGGCTCTCCTCAGGTGCCTGATTACCATGACGATGTTTGGAACGGGAGTGGCCCTTATTCTTGTGGCTCCTAGGCATGACTGCAGGGGTCAAAGGCAAAGGTCAGGACTGTAGTTGGAGAACTGGCAAGGCAGGAACCTGGAGGGATACAATGACAACATGTGAGCACCATATCATCACAAAATAAAGAATACTTTGCTTTTAGGAAGGTCTCCTTCTCTGTTTTCCTGGAGGGCAACATACTGTGTTCCTGCTCTCTTGTTCAGCTTGGTCAGGACTCCTGTTCTGTAGGTCAGCTTGATTCCCAAGAACCTTGCAAAAGAAATTAGAGTTTGTTAGACTGTTGTATGATAGCCCAGTTGGGGATTCCTAGAGTGAGAAAACAGAGTGTCCCCCCTAAATAAGAGTCAAAATGCTCATGGTTTACATTCCCAACCATATATCCATGGTTGGTAAAGTCTGAATACCCACTTGTCACTGTTACTCTGAAGTTCGTGCTACAAACTTCTATAGTTGCACGCAGGAAAACTCAAAGAGCATTTTACTGCTACCACTTTGTTCAAGAGACCTCAGGACTCCTAGTGCTGGCATGAGAGGAGATATTCTAGAGCCCTTGCTGTTACCAAGAATCTGATGCCCACAATGAACAAAGTCCTTACCAGGCAAGGCCCCTAGCAACAAAGTACCATCTCCCTATCCTATCAGAAACAAATGGAGGTAATATATCATTTTGGGGGGTGAGGGTGGGGCTTCCCTGATCCACTCATGATATCACACAGAGTTCTGGTGTGTGCCCCCTTCCCTACCAGTTATGGAACATGAAATCTCCCTAATCTTAACAATGAACTTGTTTGTAACACAGCAAGTTCCAAGAATTCTCCTTCTGCTGCCTGAATCAACCAGCCTCGCACCTGAGACGTCATTCCCTGAGAGATGCCTTGGTAAAGTTAATGGCCGCTTGTCCTAACTACCGTGTTCCAGAACTCTGGAGACAAGAGTAGGGTAGGACCTGCATGACCTCTTTTCCAGGAAGATGAATTATAGTTTGAGGGGAATCACTGAGGTTTAGGGTTGTCATCATTTTAATTCAGATTATCCCCCAAGGCACATAACAATACTTAGATGACTCTCTTACTTGATCAGAGGCCACACTTCTCAGACGAAAGCCTTGTCCCCGCAGGCTGGGGAAGCGGAAGTCAGAGTCATCTTCTTCCTGCCAACCCCCACATTCTTTTCTAGTTCTTGGAATAGAACCCCGAGGGTGGTCAGTTCCATTGTTCCAAAGAGGAGGGGGAGAGTTCATAGAGGGGAAAAACAGACTTTTTTCCTATTGATTTTTCAAGGGGCTAGGATACCTTTTGAATGAGCTGAGTTGGGAACTAAAGACCTCATTTCCATTAGAGTCCTGAAATGGGAAGGAAGATGAAGGAATTTTGAGCTTAAGATTCATGTCCACCACCTTACCATAAATTATGGATAGGGCCCTAGGAGGTCAATTTTCTTTTGGGGATAGAGCCCTGAGTCATCAAAAAAGTTTTCTCTCCTTTCTTTCTGGGAATGCCTGTATAGCCCAGGCTGGCCTGGAACTCCTGTTCATCCTTCCTGAGCTTCTAGAACCCTGAGTTAACACTAATAATAAAAAAATTATATTTTTATTTTCATTTTGAGGCAGCTTCTAGCTATGTAGTCCAATATAGCGTCAGACTTGCTGTATAACTCAGGACATCTTTTAATATTAGGAATTTATTTTGAAATAGTGTTTCATGGTATATTTTTTAATTTAATTATTTTAGTTTTTTTATAATTTCATATATGTTTTACGTCATTTTCTCCCTTCTTCAGCTCCCTCTAAAATTCACAGCTTCTTTTTCAATTACACATACACATGTACACACATTTTGATAGTATTTTGGGTTAGGACCACAGTTTGAGACTCTTAGTAAAAGTTTTTACTTCTCTGTAGACTCATTTATATTGGTCGTTTAAATTTAATTCATGTACTTAGAGTAATATAATAAATATTTCAATGAAAATATCCTCAAAATTTAAACAATAGTACAGAGGATAGAATAATAAATCCAATTATCTGACCTTTCTCGTCTTGAAGCTATATTCTTATGAGAAGCACTGTGTTCATTTAAAAGTTTCTTATCAGTAGTTGCACTTTATAGGCAATGTTTTATAAATACATTAGGTGTGTTGTCTTTTATGTTGCTATGTTGTCAGACACTACTTTTATTCATTTATATCTTAAGAAATACAGGATATTAATTTTTTTAATTCTAAAATTCCTATCAGTTTAACTGAGACAGTCGATTAGCTTCAACTGTTTGGGAGGCCCCCAGTCTGTGGGACCGGGACATGTCCTTAGTGCATGAGCTGGCTTTTTGGAACCTAGGGCCTACGCTGGGACACTTTGCTCAGCCTGAAAGTGAAAGGAGGAGGGGACTGGACCTGCCTCAACTGAATCTACCAGGCTGAGCTGAATCCCCAGGGGAGTCCTTGCCCTGGAGGAGATGGGAATGGGGGGTGGATTGGGGTGCAGGGGGGACGCGGGAGGAGGGAGGACAGGGGAATCCATGGATGATATGTAAAATTAAATTAAATTATAAAAGAAAAAAATTTCCTATCAATTTATTACTAGAAATTCTTTGGGAAGACTCTTTATTTTCCTTCATTTATCATGTTGTCATATTGATAATATGTAGTTATAACATTCCATTATTGATAGTAAATCCTTTATACAAACAAGATTCTTGTCTTTTTAGTTTACTGATATCATTTTTCTGATTATTTCATTTTTAGTTGGAATATGTATACATTTATTTATATAAATTATTATTTAACAATATTTTTATTCTTTGCAAGTTTAATACATGTATAGAATGCATATTAGTCATATCTAGCCAGCCAGCCTCCCTTCAACTTTCTGTACTGTTCCCCAAACTAACTCCCTCCCAAATTCATGTCCTCTTTTATGTATTGTTATTAATAATACATTTAATTCAGTTAGTGCTGCCCACAGGCATGTGACTATGTGGACATATACTGGGGCATAAGTGACCAACAAGCCACATCCAGAAAGGAGAGTAACTTTCTCTCAACACTCATCAATTGCAAATAGCTCCTTCAATAAGGATGGATCTTCATGGGCCCCTCCCCATCTATGTGGAAATTTTGGCTGGCTTCATCTTGTGCAGGCACTGTGCAGGTATCCAGAAATGGGATGAGTTGATAAGTGCAACATCCATGTCATGTCCAGAACTCATCTCTCCTTCCTGTCTGCCAACTCTTACACTCTTTCTGCCCCTTCTTTCATAAATTTCTCTAGGCCTTAGGTAGAGGAAACTTAATATAGATAAATGGCCCATTCACAACTGAACACTCAGAGTTATTTGTACTCAATAATTTGACCAATTAGGAGTCTCTGTAATAACAACTACCCACTGCAAAATATCGCTAGTGCTATTTTGTAGGCATTCAATTTTGCATGTATCTTCATTATTTTTATCAGCAGTTTCTCTATTAGTGTGATATTGATTCTCTAGTTTCCTGAATTTGAGGATATGTAATTTTTTTTCTTATAAACATATTTTATAGTTTTGTTTCAGTTTGGGTTTTTTTTCTTTTAGATAAAGTCTCTCTACATGGCCTTAGCCACCCAGGGACTTGCTTTTTGTCTCACATTGACTTTCAACTCCAGTCTTTTTGCCTCAGCCTCCTAAGTGCTGGTTGTACATGCGTGATGCAGAGCTATAAATATTTAATGAAACAAATGCTCCTATAGCCACCATAATTGCCATTTATAAAAAGTAATATTAATGAAGTTACTGAGTGGAGCTTAAATATTTGAAAAATTGAATATATTATTAATGTTCTATACTAGAGTTTATAATAGTATTAATATGGAGATATATATTAATATATTTTGAGACTATAATTATGTATACAAACACTAGGAAATGCAGCGGAATTATACAAAAGTTTCATAATAATCCATGTGTTTGTCTACTGTGTTATATTTTGCTTATTAATGATAAGAGAGAAACTTGATGAAATTGAACCACTAGTGACATATGTCTTTTTATTTTGTAGAACTGAAAGTTTCACAAAAACAAATTAAAAAATTATCCTACTGAATGTGTTCATGTATGATCCAGTAAAACAAATTCCACTCTAAATAGATAATTCAGAAGAGATTTATTTTATGCATAGGCTATTTTAGAGAAGTTTCATATTTTAAGAAAATTGGACAAAATGTTCTTTCACCAGAAATTGCCACATCTAATCTGCTTTTGTATCTCTTGATGTTAACATCTTGCATTAGTGAGCTATATGTGTTACTATAAATGACTTAATATTGATGTATATTTATTAAGCAGCATTTACATTATGATTCACTTTAAGTAGTCTATGATCTTATAAAATATTTGTACATCTGCCATTATGGAATCATGTGAATCATATTACTACAGTAAGTCTTTTGTGTTGGACTTAATCATTTATATTTCCTTCTTCTTGAACACCTTAGCTTTTTGTGAAATGATTTATCTTTTAAAAATTATTTATTCTTTGACATTTTCACACACACACACACACACACACACATATATATATATATATAATAAGTTTTTTATCATATTCACACATAATTCCTTCTCTTATCTCCTTTATCTACACCTCTGGTACCCTTGTCCCTAACTTATTGCTCTCTTTTGTCTGTTTTTATAACCCACTTATCTTTTTCTTTTTTTTTTTTTTTTTTGTTTTTCAAGACAGGGTTTCTCTGTGTAGCTTTGCGCCTTTCCTGGATCTCGCTCTCTAGACCAGGCTGGCCTCAGACTCACAAAGATCCACCTGCCTCTGCCTCCCGAGTGCTGGGATTAAAAGTGTGTGCCACCACCGCCCAGCCGTACCCACTTATCTTAATTAGGATTATTTGCATAGACAAAGTTGTGTAATTATTTCTAGTGTCATGGTCAACTTAATAGTGGCTATATTACTGAAGGAAAAATATCTTTCTATACCCCAGCAGCCATTAACTGCCAAAAGCTTCCTGATAGAGATGGGACCTCATG